TAATGAAAAATAAATGGAAGATAGTTTCACTTTTTTTTTTCAGAAATGCATCCAGAGCTTAGACAAGAAAACTATTATTCAGTTTTTCTAATTGCCTCTTACAGCTTTGTCTTTGTCTACATGCCAGTCATTCTATTTTCTTTAGCGTCCTCTTCTCCTCCCTATCATTCTCATCCAGGTACATGCATGAACACAAAAATAGATATGCAAAGACTTGTTCCTTCAGTTCAGAAGACAAACAGTGAGCTGCAGAACTAGAATTATTAGACAAATACAGGCGGATGGATGGATAAAGCAGATAAGAACAAGATTAGCAGAAACATTAAAATGCATAAGCAGCGCTTCCCACCTATCCCTCACTTTCATTTACATTACTTCCTTTGTCGCACAAACATCCAAAGATAAGCTAATATGTACAGTGCATGCAGATTTGCTCACTAACCCACAAAATGACACAGGTGAGAGAAATAGGTTGATGTTGATCTCACTTTGCTGTAAGGATGTGCGAGGTCTAACAGCAACACAATTCTCCAAATGTTGCTGGGCAAGGAGATAAACAGTCTCTAAAAAGCTGATTGTGCTGAATAGGATGGAAAATAATGGAGATCTGAGTTCTTAACGGCAGACACACTGCACTCATCGGTTTTATCTCTGGGGGAAGAAAGCACACACACACATACACATCTGTGCTCATGTGCATATTTGAGTGTATTTTTATTTTGCATAAAAACACACTTGTGCTTACACATATGCACAGATCGTAGGTCTCAGGTGTGTGATCTCTCGCAATAAAAGCAACAGAAAGAGAGCTCTTTTTTTTAGCTTATCCCTTCTCTCCCGGCCCTTTTCTCCCCTTTATCTTCCAACCTTTTCACAGTTAGAAGGGAATATATCAAGTAAATATGTAGGATGAAAAACAACTCTTTACACAGCCACCCCATAATTTCTTCATTCAACCATATGTAACTTGTTCTGACTGTAGTGCATAACTGCTAAATGCCTTTTTTGGAAAATCAACCCCTGCTTTGGACATATGAGCGAAGCAGGAAAATACAACTTCACCATATAGGGTATGAACACTATGTTGATGTAAATAAATTATATATATATATAT